CCTATTTCGAGTTTTGCGGTCGAATTGATCATAAAACGATAATACAGTACATCGCATATAATACAGTGGATCCTAGGTTATAGTGTACGAGTGTACGAGTAATTGCAACACGGTCAACGACGGTGAAACATGTACCAGAACGGTATAACGTCTCCGACGAATTACGCACGAGAGAGACATATAATATTCTAGGATTCTAGCGAAGGTAATAATAATCGCGATCTCCGTTGGATGAAAATCGGTCGTGGACCACGTTTATTATACCACTAACCCCGCCATGCCGTCAATTCGCGAGCGTCATGCGACTGCTGCAGCGGTGCATTCGCGCAATCTTAAAATCGTGAACGACTGTTATTTACACACGTTTGTACGACAACGATGGCGTTTAATAAGTAGAAAGTCTGCAAAAGCGCGCACGGCAATTTCCTCGTACTTTTAACGCCGCGTTTCTATTGTTCGCAAGGTCACGACTTTAACTACAATTCTCTAACATCGTATTTGACTATCATGCGAATCATCGAATGGACACGTATCGGAAACGCATCGCCTTTACATATTTATTAAAAGTTTCCGATGTAATTACGAAAAGCTCGACAACAACTATTTTTCGAAATAATAAAAAAAGTGTAAGAACAAAAAATAAAGAAATTAAACGATAAAGCCATTAATATAGATAAAAGAGACAACAAGGATTATAGTTTGCTCTAAATTAGGGTTCAGAAATAGCAGAGAGATTTAAAAGAAAATGTAAAGGTTTTAGTACATTGAGGTGATTATCGAATAGCAAAAGACAATTGAAAAGAATATGAGATAAGTCACAAGTACTCTCTTTCGTATGAGATATAGAAATAAGTGAACGATTATCATATAAATATAAACTCGTATATAATAATTATAAAAGGCTACAAAGGTATAAAGGCTATGTGCATTTATTATAAATATTATAGTATTACATTTTACCATTTTAGCTTACAAACTATTTATATAATATAATTATTATAATATTAATAATAAATGCACATAGCCTTTGTACACCGGTATAATTGATGTCGAGGAAATGGAATGAATGGTATAGAAACACTAAAAGTCGATCCACACTATGCATATTTCGGTTTTTCGTTTCGTAGTATTTCGTTCAGTTTTCAGTTTACTGTTGTTTAGTAAGTTTAGATCATATCAACATACAGGTTTTCGTTCCTTTTTATTTAAATAAAATTGAAAAGTAATGGCAAAGATAAATTATTGATTGCCAGAGCAATTTATACTGTATTGGCTTCAAAACTAAAAAAAAAAAAAAAAGCACGAAGATGGTGAACTCTACACAATGGTAATTGATAATATTCGTTTACCTATATTTAACATATCATTTAATTTAAAATCCAGTGATTTGAACTTCATGTTTACGAAAATAAATGCAATGCGAAATAATTCGAAACCATGCATAACGAAACGACACGAAACTATTTTTTTGTGCCCTTTGACTTTGTAAATTTACCGCCTCGCTCGCGAAACAATGCAAAACAGCTTTCAGGAAAAATTTTTTCATGAAAAAGCTATACACACTATATACGAAACTAAAAGAAAACGTGAAAACATGAAACATGCGTAGTGTGTACTTAATACATGACCGAGTAACGAATACAATTTATATAAAACGTATCGGTATGCAACAGTTCATTGTGATAAACCATCAGTGATTATTATTAATTAGTATTTCAGTAACCATGACTAATTTCGGAATTCGGAATGCCGTGCACACCGTATAACTATGCAGTACTATTATTTCATTTTTAGATTTCCATAGTCACGATGGTCATAGTGATAGTAGTGAATGAAAAAGGATGAGATTTAATAGCAGACATTTTTCATTTAATTTTGAAAAAATTAAGAAAATAATTTTACAAATACACTACAATGAACTACGACGATACACAACACAGTTACTGCATTGTTATGCAAAAGGGTACATTCTAATACTAACCTTGACATTTTAAGTGTTCGCAATTATAAATTATTATGACATAAAACGTAATAATTATAACGATATTTTGTACAAATAATTGAAAATACATAAAAAATTTATTCGAAAAACTATTGCACATAAACATGATTTTTATTTTCTATATTTGTTTTGAACCCATTTTTAATTAGCTCATCTAACTACTAATGATATGATTCGTGCTACTGATATGAATGTACACAAAGATTGAATAAAAAAGTGGTCGAAAATAAAATATTAATTAATCTAATTAAATTGACTACACTAACAGGTTTTTTTAATTATATATTTTACATCATATTACTTCTTAATTAAATTTAATAAAATAATAAAAAAAAAAATTTCATAATTTTCAAGATAAACGCATCGAATATAAAGGTACTTAATTTATAACACAAATTATAAATCGATTTTTTTTTTATATAAATATAAATCATAATTAATCAATGTAATATATTATCTTTCGACATTATGTATACTCTAATCAGAATACTGTTTTCTTTTTAAATAACAAGTTGGAATAATTAAAAATTACCAAAAATGATTTATTGGCTATGTGAATATCATGAAATATCGGTATTCAAAATAACATAATTTTTCATGTATTAGTCTGATTAGATTACAATTGTAAGTATTTATAATCTAATTTATCGCATGATTCATTAAAAATATAAAACCATTAAAATGTTAACATTACCTATATCAATAGTATACTGGATTTATACTCAAAATATTGTAAAATAAAAAACTTAATTCGTCTGATAAATATAATATTTATACACATAAGTTAAATGCCTATTTTTAGACTATAAGATACCTCTATAAAATTGTATCTCCAACTCAAATAAAATGAAAACATACACTTCAAAGAAAACTTTTCGGCACAGATTCGCAAATATTCATATTATAAAAGGTGTGTTTTCACATACATTGTTTCAAAACATTACACTTTCACCTTGGAAATAGTATCATGTTATACTATCTATTACGTTGTTTTTCGAGTTTAAAATCATAAATCCGTGTAAACAGTTATTAAGACGAACAAATAACTATTGTTTGGAGTGGGCGATAGTATAATTTCGGAAAAAGGAATTTTCGAACCGAATCGATTAAACCATAGCTATATGTCTATGTCTGTATAAATAATATATGCGAACAAAAAAGGGCACAGATTTTCAACATTACTCTGCAGTCGATAAGATACTGTGACTTAAAGCACATGCGCCGATAGTTATCTTAAAGTCGATAAAGCTATATCAAAGAAAATATAAGAGACACGTGTTTAATAAAATTAATATAGTATTATTAAAAAAAAAAAAATGTACAGCTCAACACTAAATGAGAGTATACATTTTTCGAAAACTATTTTTAGATTACCCTTCATTACTGATAAAAAAATGTCTAACAGAAATTAAACACGATTCTTACATATTTTCCTAGATACAACCTGATCCGTGTCAAATTAATTTTCCTGTACAATACACGTATAGTATATACCGGACGACCGGACGGTTGCTGTACGGCGGTAAGGTTCTAAATTCGGACGTATCGCGGCGCGTTTTATTTCTTCTGCGCGCTGGATTAATGAATGGAAGAGAGAGTGAGAGTGAGAGAGGGTGACATACAGGGATTTTCGAGGTGACATTTTATGTACGCCGTTTCTGGTGCAAAACGCCACGCAGCAGTCAACCAGACGGTTCAGAAATACATTTTGGAGCGTATCCAAATTTTGGACAGTCCAAAGCGAAACGGTCATTCGACCTGAAGAATTTTCTTCTCCGCCACCGCAGCAGCCCCGTCTCGCTGTTCGCGCGCGCGTGTCCGACCCCCCCCCCCCCCCCGTAACACCCTGTTGAAATCGTCGACCGCCGCCGCCACCCTGGCCGCCATAAGGTTATTGCCACCAGTACGTGATCGACTGCCAAGTCGCCTATCGAAAAAAAGAAGAGATTGAGACACGGGACAAAATACGAGAACGCAGTATTCGCACGGAAATCTCTAACGCAGACCTCTCGACTGCCGACTGCGTACAACGTATAATACTCTGTACAATACCGTTATGCTCCAACAACGACAAAATCGTATAATAACAGAACGACAGTAGTGTGTACCTACTCCTCGGGCACATCGTTTATTCGATGGCCGAACCCGAATCACAAGCAGTCGTTCGACCTACCTATACACACACCGTACGTTTCATGCACCTACCTACGACGATGATAATAATAATAGTAATAATTATATTATGACGCACGTAAATTTAATTATAATAATCGACTTATGTACAGGTACGATGTGCGTGTACAAATTGAACGAGGGAAAAAGTCGCTAAGCCCACCAAACACCTGGGTTCATATAATTGAATTAGATCCGAAATCCAAACCGAATGGTCGCTGATAAAGTTATAAAAATTTCTCCGCGAAATAAATTATCAGGCATATTTTATCATAACATTGGTACGGTTCCAGGAGTATGTAACGTAATAAATTCGACGTGAAGTACGCCAATTAATACGAACTCGGAATTTGTTTATTTTTTCTTTCCAATTAGATCAATACTTGGAAAATAATATTATGTTCGCATACGCGAGAGTGAAGCACGATGAGCGCATTTAATGTACCATACACATCGGTGTGTACCGCGGTGGTGTTAACCACAGTTGTTGTCAAACATTTTCTCCGGGAAAGACTTCAAGGACCTGACACACATCACTCGACCGCGGTAATTGATCGCGAGGCTTTTTGTTGAAAACGTCGCGAATGTCTTGCCCAGCCGCCCTCGAACGCAAGAAAAACAACACGAATCTTGTCGAGGGTACTTCCGTGCGCGGCGGACGGAGCGGAAATAACACGCGTCCGACCGCGACGGGGGAACGTTCACGGGAGCGACAACATTTGATAGCGGGTTGAAAAAAAAAAGGGTAAAATAATGTTGTGACGGCGGGTACGGAGTAAAAAACGATCGAGACGACAACGGTCGACGGCAGAAACGCGTCTCTTACCTTTTCTTTGGCCCTTCCGGCGTGTTTGGACACGGACTTGGCGATTAGGGATCCTTTGCTCTCGGCCATGACGTTCTGACTCGGGTCACCAATGCACAACAACTGATTCATGTTGTTGTGTTACGCGGCGGCCGACGCCGTCGCCGTCGAACGTTATCACACCTAACCAGGGCTAGCCAGCCGCGCGCGCCGTCCGATCGGAACGTAGGAACGCGTTCTGGGCGGCGCGCTGTGCGATGCGGTACGTGCGTGCGCGCGCGCGCGTACGAAAGACACGACGACGACGACGGTGTTACCTACGGCTCGCGCACCACGCAAACGGCGGGACCCGGAGACCGTTTTGAAAAATTCGCACTGACCACGGCTGATTCGGCCGCTGCTGTCGTTTTCGTGCACTCGCGCCGCTGTAAGACGGGGTCTCCGAGACGGATAGTGTGGGCGGACGACGCGAAAATGTTGAACGGACGAGCGCCGCGGCAAACGGACGTGGACCGAATAGAATATATTAGTTCGCGAGACTACCGGACGTGCCGTGAAAGATGCGTCTCTATCCTCGCCGATTGGTCCCCCCGCGCGAAGATCACCGAGTGGGAGCGCTATATTGCGTGGAAAAACGCGAGCGTAGGAGAAAAAAAAAAAAGAACAACAGAGAAAGAGAGAGATAGAGAAAGGAAAAAAAAAAAAAAAAAAACGAAAAAACGAAAATCTAAACAAAACCGAATTCATCGCGCTGGAATGGAAGGGCGAAATTGTACACGCGCACAGCCATTGTCTGCAGAATTGCAGCGGCGTACAACGTCGTCGTCACCGGTACGTATTGATGTACACGGTTTATTATAATATTACGGTTCACAATGGACCGTATAACTGTAATGATATGTTTACACCCATCGGCCGTACATAGAGAAACGCGTATGCGAGACACAAGTGCGCTCCTACGGTCGGTCCGACCGGTGACCGGACGAAAAGACGGTTTTGTTATTACGATACGGATTCGTGCGGTTGCCGTTCGTCACACCGGACCTCGGGGACGGGCTTAAGAGTTTTCGGCCGTTTTTTTTTTTTTTTCACCACGATTCGTTTATTCATCGTGTCTACGATTACGTGCACAATACGATAATCGTGTAACATTACGCCACTGTTCTACGGTCGGTGTCATCGCATACCAGTCGCGGGAAACGAAAAACGTGCACGTGAAAATCCGGACAACAAGTATAATAATAATTTTACCAGTGAAAAAGCTAAGACGGACGTACAAGAAACTGGTACGAAGGTTAAAATAAGAGATCACTGGTTCACGTGTTTTTAATATTACGTACGTACGTACACGTTTTTGTGGAAACGGTGCGTTATAGTGCCCGCAATTAAGTACACAATCCACAGTAAGTTTTATTACCTTTGCGTTTAGCGCGTACAGGCGCGTACAGCCACACCCAACTTGTGCACTCATCGGTTATAATTCATCGCGTTAATGAATTAATTAAACTTAATTACGTACGGAAACATAAATGTCATAAATGATAATGAATGACACACAAATTAAATAAAATCTCTCGAAATAATTCGTCAATTATGTTTTACTTAATCTGATTTACGATGATATTGTTATGTTCGCTGTTTGATATCCATCCTATTTGCTTGTGTTACTCAAACGTATCGATTAGCTTGAAAATTAAAACCTAAGACATTAACTTGGGATCTTCGACAACGCCATGACGTTGTTCACCTACGTGTAAGTATATCTGGCGATAACATTAACGAAATATGAGAATTCAAAAAAGCTCTATACAAGAGTACATCGGACATTTTGTAACACATTTTATTGTACAGTAATATTATTGATTAAAAAATAAATATATATATATACATCTATACGTACACAGTTATTCACAATTGTTACTTGTTTAGGGTACCATCGACTATGTGTACATAATAGTATACACAGGGACGGACTGGGTTAATAGTTCAGGCCGGGAATTTTTTTTGCCAAGCCAAAAATTAACAGGGGACCAACGATTTGGTCATAAGTAGGGCTCGGAACTTAATGCACTTAAAAAGTACTAAGTATGCTCTAAAAATATGCACTTATGTTTTATTTTTGTACACAAAATTTTCGTTTGCACAAATATTTTATAAGATTATAAATATAGAAAAAGCAAAGTAATAAAAATAATTCTAATTTTTAATTTTTAATCATAATTTAAAATAATAATAATAATAATAAAATAGCATTAAAAATGTTTCTTGGATAAAAAAAATGCACTTGTAGAATGTTCAATAATCATTGAATTATTTTCTTAGAAAAGTATTTATAGAAAATCGTCGTATTTCGATAGCCGCTGTTCCTATTTGATATTTGTATAATTCTTTATTTTAGATAAGACTAGCTAGTTATAATTTATAAATATATATATATATATATATATATATATTATATTAACCAATAGGAGAAAAACATTGTATTTATGGATTTATGGATTATGGAAATTTGAAAAATACGATACAAGAATATCAAGAAAGTTCTCTCAATATGAATGTATTTATTTTTTTATTTTTCGAATTTTCATGCTGAATATTCAAAAATCATAAAATATGCTCTAAAAAATGTAAAATCAAGATATATGCTCTAAAATCTAAAAATTACTAAGTATGCAAAAATATGCACTAAAAACTTTTGATATATTTTTCGTAGTGTCTTGAAATGAATTTCTAATTCACTTAGCAATAAATTCAATGGTGCAAAAAAAAGACATGCAAATGCAACAACTTCTATTCGAGCCCTATTCATAAGTACACAAAAAAAAAATAATAATAATGATAAAAACCTTTATTATTTAAAAATATTTAAAATATTTTCAAAATTTTATGTAGATATATAAAATTATATATATATATATATATATATATTATTAATATATAAGACATTTTTTTTATATCATAGATAAAGTGTACACATTTTAATATAATATCTATATATTAAAATTAACTCTAAAAGTAATTCCTTTTTTACATAATTAGGTTTTTTTTCATAACTTCACTAGGTTCCTCAATTCTGTCGATTAAAATATCGTAATACTATATTTTTAATTTTTAAAATATTATCTGGTTATTTAATCCATTATTGTAACAGGCTACGGGGATTTATCCCGGTGTCCCGCCAGGCCAGTCCGCCCTTGAGTATACTATCAAACTGAGAGTTCTGGTAAAATATATTTAATTTTCAATACAATCCATTGGTTGGTTTAGAATCTCATACTAAGGCGATTTTCTTGTTTTACCATGTACAACGGTTATGGTAACTGTAATAAGATATGTCCCGTGTACCAGATCAGACTAGGCAGCGAAATAATACGAGTCTTGGCCCGCCACTGAGTAGTAGGTATTACGTATAATAATCGGTGTGCTGCGGTGAGCGGAACGGCGGCACGGAGAGTCTTTTAACAAAGTACCTATAATAATCCAATTGTTTTCGTCGACGATAGTGATGAATAATAATAATAATAATTGTTGTTATTGTGTTGTGACGTGTGTAGGTTTTACACATATTTGCATTGCTGTTCGACACGGTCGGGTACATTTTCCAGTGCTCCGCCGAAGGGTTCAGCCCCCCCCCCTTCACCGAAAGGCACTCGTGCGTGCCCGATGGTCTGACGTAATTCCACAGATCTGCTACTGATGCAGCAGCTACAGCTGTAACCGTACACTACTTTTCATTCGACGTGAAGTGATGACATTACAATCGTATACAGGATAGCCGTATCGTGTTTTCCGAGATAATGCAAAAATCATCGAACTCTTTTATCATTTAGATTCACTCGCGGTTGTGTTTCGATCAAATTGTTTCCCTTTTAATTTTTTTCGAAAAAATAAACAACCGGGGTTGACGACGATGTCTAACACCGGGGCCCCAAGACTCAATAGCGGGCACCATCCGTAAACTTGGACGGTGTGTAAGCGTGAAAGGATCGTGAACGCGCGTTTAATAATAAGCGAGGTATTATAGCGGTCGGTATTAAAAAATAAAAATGATTTACTGCGAATACTTAAACAGTTACATGCAGTGGCGCATGCAGGGGGGGGTTAAGGGGTTGTAATCCCCCAGCCGAAATTTTCTCCAATGTCTAGGTTAAAATTTACAACTTTAACAAGTTTGAAGTATGAAGAACTAGTGTTGAATACCTAGTATGATTGATTATAGAATAGTCTATTCTATTATCAATGCTATTATTTAAGTCAAAATATATTAAGGATTTGCATAATTTTGTTAATTGTAAAATGTGTTATTTTTTTACCTTGACCCCCCCCCCCCCCCCCGAAAAAAAATCCTGTGTGCTTCACTGGTTACATGGCGTACCGGGCTCACCTCATCACGGGGGCCTCGAGATCATAGTCACGCCACTGTGTATACTCTGGTGAAAACGTTGACGGTTCATGGGCGCAACTAAATCCCAAATATTGAGGGTGTTGAAAATGCTGAAAATAAAATAAAACGGTATTTAACTGTTATTACTATAGATCAGTGGCGTAACTAGGGGTGGAGTTTGGGAGTTGTGACTCCCCCCCAACATTTTTCTGAGGTTCTTACAAATTCTATGTAGGAAAAAAATGGTTTATTTTGAAGACGCGAAATGGCTGATTGATATGAATTATGAATATTATTCGTATTATAATTGATAACAATAATAACATGACAACATGACAATATCCATTCAACTTTAAAACATCAATAACCTTGCTACTACGATTTCTGGATAGTCGATTGTATAATACTTTTTTTTTTTTTGTATCGCAATATGAAATAAAAGTTTAATAAATCGTTTAATTTGTAATTTAAGCATTTTACTAACTTAATCTTACTTCCTTGTCCCTACCAAACACCTGCGGAAAATGCTAATTTTTTTCAAATACCCCCCCCCTAACCACCTGGTTACGCCACTGCTATAGATTATATAGATGTGAAAAAAAAAACAAGAGTGTTACATTTGAACTCAGAGGTGCTAAAAACCCTATTGCGCTTATGTTGACGTTCCGATCGCGCTCTTATCTAATGCCGCCAAGCGTTTTCGTACGCGTGACATATTATTGCCGTAGCGCGTTCGGACGTCATTACGCAGGCACTCGGGCGTAGGTGCACCCGATTGGGCGGTATTTACGAGTCGGCGGCGATGGCGCAATTGCGTGTACAACTTATGCGCGTGCGATGCCTTTGTTATTATACTGCACGTATGCATGTATGTACGCATAAATGTACGCGTGACACCTTACACTATAACGCGTCCATAACGTATTATGTTCTGCTTTTCACCGGTTTCGCATATTATCACCGTTGTTATAATAGCACGCCGAACGCTGTGTTCCGCGCACCGAAAAAACATCGAGTCGCTATTGTTGTAATTACTGGGGCGTACGCAGGATAGGTAGGCACGATCATGTAATAGGTATCACCTACGTCCACTCGTCAAGTCCCGTAAGCCATATGACGCGCTTGCGTTTCAGATACGAGTGTTTCTCGTTTTTTTTTCTTTTTTCGCACAGGCCATGCGTCGTTTTGCAACATTTTCGAAAATTACGATACATTGCATTAACTGTAGCAGCATTATCAATATAAGTTACACACATGCAACGCGTTTACTTACTAATGCATCAAGTTTTCAAATCTACTGAAAAATATTTAGTCTTTCTGTTTCGTGCTAAACGCATGACGCGGTTGCGAATCCAACATTTTCATGTTGAAGATCCTCAATGTTAGACTCTACCTAAGCAAGTACAAGTACCTAGAAGTTTTGATGATATCGACGGTTACCAAGAGTGCAGTGGTATACGTAGGAAAGGTCCTCCCAACTAATATTATTTTTGTATGAAAATTCAAAATGTACTCATCATATAGTTTTTTTTTTTTTATTTTAACGAATATTTTTTACGAAACGATATTTTAAAAAAATTAACAGATAATTAATAGATATACAAATGAAAAACAAAAACCAGTTTATTGCTATAAATAACGTATTATTTAAATTAGTGTAATCTATTTTAATATTGATTGTCACTGGAATCACCATGTATGATTAGGGAATTTACTATGGAATTCACCGACATTTCAATTTTTTCTAAGGAAGTTTATAGTCTCAGAAATGCCCATTATCCCTGTATTCTGGAGCTCCAGGGCACTGTTTCACTTTTTCCTATGATAGCTACACCACTTAAAGAGCATATTATACAGACATACTACATTTGTTAATATTTTTACATTCTAGAAAATATTTTCTAACTAAGAATGTATAATATAAACAATCTGATAGCACGTGTGTCTACGTCACAATAATAAGTGATGGTCAATCATCAATTTCTTCGAATTAATATGAAAACATATTTCAATCGGATACTTTGTTAATGCCAATTTATATTTATATTTCTTGATAATTTAAATTTATTATTCGAGATGCCATAATAATAAAGTAAATAAAGATTAAATACAATGGATAGTGTAATAAAAATTCTTCGTGTGATTATTTTTTAAATCAAACCTATTCTTTTTAATTGTACTAACTGAAATATAAATTTATCTTAATTCTTACATATGTAGTTTTTGGAATTGATATCATTAATATAAAAACAGTATTTGACAAGGTACTTTTATAAACTTAGATAAAAAAATTCATCATCACAATCTTCTTTTAAATAATAGGTATCGCATTAGAATGCTGTTTTTAATGAGAACTTAAAAATTTTAATAGTAATATTTTTGGATACAAAATGAAAGTTACATTTATGATACCAGGTGACATTTACAGAAATATTATGAAATTTCAATTTCTGAAACTTATTTAAATAACAATTGAATATTACGGTACAATAATTAAATATTCTATTGTTAAACTAGGTACCTATTGATATTTTATTTTTATTGAATAATGATAAATAAATTATTAGAGAGATTTAGATATTAGTCATTAGATAACAATAAAAATTGATCTAAGCCTCCTGTTAATAAAACAATGGCATCATAAAGTAAACATAGTCATTGAGTTTAGAATATTTTTGAATTAATGACATTGCATGTACACGCAGAATAATATGTAAATTATGTCGTAATAATATAGTATGAGTTACTGAAAATACACAGTCTATTTATTTGTAGTTATTAATTAATATTTTTCATTATAATAAATAAATCCATTTTATCAAAAAAGTACTTTGAAATATGTATTTGAAAAGTATACTATACTTATATACAATTAATAAAACTTAAAATAGGTTAATAAATATATCTTAATAATTTAGATTATTCTAATAGTAGTTTTTCTTAGAAAATACAATTACTAACTGAACTTTAGTTTATGTTTAAGTAATTAAAATAGTGTCATTTATATCTATAAGTTTCATGTTAAACTTTTACCCATAGAAAAGTGGTAAGAAATGTTGAGAATATTTTTATTAATAAATTACAATATACACAATTTACCTATATGCATGACTAGAAATTAGGAATTATATTTTGAGTTAGTTATGTTGTTCAATTGACTAATTGTCTGCAGTGTCTGGATTATCTAATTTATGCAATAAACACATAAGATCTTCTACCCATTTAGGTTGAGTGTTGATATCAGAATTCAAACAAACTAATTGATTTTCAGTATAAACTTCATTATTTTTCATGACATTGCTTTCTACTGATGATACATTTTGTGAACCACATACATTTGAATTATTAGCTTTAGGTACAGTATTTGTATATTTAGAACTCAACTGCTCTAGTAAACTTTCAAATTCAGAATTTTTATCTATAGGAGTTTCAGTGTATTTAATTTTTTTAGAACAGGGCTGTGGACTTTTCATACGCTTTAATCCTTTAATAGGTGTTTTTGAATCTTCATTTTTGCTCTTTTTATTAGTATCATTATCATTATACTGTTGTGATGTATTTAAGAAGCTTTTTACTAAACTATCAGGTATTGGAGTATTTACTTCATTTTTTGTATACTCTAGGGCAAGTATACCAGCTTCTATAAATAATAATAATAAAAAACATTTATTGGTTATATTTTTTTAATCATAAGAAAGTTGTACATCATACCAGTCAACTGAATAACTTTCCCACTGTTTAAGATTGAAGATACAAAAGAAGTTTCATCTACTGGTTCAATAGACTTTTCCAATAAATTTAATACAGAATTATCACCATCTAGAAAACAACCATACATTATAATACATATACAGTTGAATAGTTGTTAACATAAATTTAATTAAAACTACCTTTTAGTTTTGACATATCCAAAAAGAATGATTCATTTGAATTATTTGATGTCAAATCTGGCTCTAATGTTGAATCATTACTATTAATGTTTAGTTGATTAATTGACTCGGCATATATTTTTGAGCCTAATTTTGAAGATTCACCTAGAAAAATAATTTATATTTTAAATTATAATTAAATAAAAACGCATCTTGCCATATTTTAAAATCAAGTTTTCTTATATAATATTTAATCTTATTATAATATAATTAATAATTATTTTTTTAGACTTACTAGTTGTTTTAAATTGTGACGTACTAGATGATGATCCTAAATATGTATTATTTTTTAGTTTACCAGTACTGTTAGTTTCAGAAGTTGAGTGTAAATAATAATCCTTATTTTTATCTTTGACAAACTAAAATAAAGAATAACAGGATAAATAATAGTTATAAAAAGTAAAACGATAACTCATTTGAGTAATGTTTTCTTCTGTAATTTTTAAATTTATACCTAAATAAATCAAAAAATAATAAAATTTACTTCATTTATGAAATGAAAAATATTTAAACATGTTGTTTTGGCAAGTTGTATAGGACTTTTGCCAAATTTATTGACCAGTTTTAAGTCAGCACCATGATTCAATAATAACTTAACTCCTTCGATACATTTACTAGTAATGCACCAATGAAGAGGAGTGTTCTTAAAATTCTGAAAAATTAAATTTTTTCTCTTTCAAAATGATCTACCAATTTATTAAATAATGTAAGACATGCAACACGAATGGAGTGATAAGAAGAGAGAAATAGACTGAGATGGTTTGGGCATGTGATGAGGCAAAAGGAAATAAATGCAGTAAGAGTTGTTATGAAAATGAACGTTGAAAGGAAAAATGGAAGAGGAAAACCAAAAAAGAAATAGTTGGATACAATCGAATATTATATGAGAGTTGCTGGTATCTGCATAAGGGATATAGAAAATTGTGTCTAGTGAAGGTTCAAGACAAAGGTAACCAATTCCAAATAGTTAGGACAAAGGCAAGGTGGAAGAAGAAGAAGAAGAGTAAGACATGCAACAATTTTGATTTTATAAATTACTTATAGTCTGTAATTAAAATAAATATAAAAAATGTATTTTAAAATTATTTTCCTACACTTAAGATCTAAACAATTGAACATACTTTATCTGTAGAATTAATGTCACAGTGCAAATTGTTCAATAAAATATCAATGCATTCTGAAGCACCTTGAGAAGCTGCAATATTTAATGCAGTACGTCCAAGTTTATTCTGAGTATCATTTTTGAATGCTTTGACAGTTTTCAATAAGTGCTCTAATACTTTTGGTTGATTATTCATACATGCTAGGTGCAAAGCATTATTTCCGTACTATAAAAATTATACTAGGTTATTAAAACATAAATATATTCGGTGCACCAACTAGAAATATATGAATTGGAAATACATTTAGTCATACACAAGCAATATGTCTAGAATATCATCAATTAAGAATGATATTTGTTATAATTCTGATATAATAAAATTGAAATGGAGAACTATTGTTAATAACAATATCATTGTGATTAAATTATCACTTGGATATTTTATATATTATTTTCACAATAGTTTATTTACTCCGATGAAAAATAATAAAAATAACTGTGAATTTAACTGAATAATTTGTTCAATATTTAACATTGCAGTTCTAAAATAAATTTATCTCCATATTGTTATTAATTATGAATATATAATAGAAATCACAAGTGAAAATAAAAAAATAAAATAATTTTTTTGGTAATATTTATTAAACTAAATAGGTATAGGACAAAATAAATGTTTGAAGAGTTGTAAACTGAAAATCCAAAACGAAAGTCCATACCCATAGTTATATAAATAAACAATCAAATAACTAAAGATATTTGTACTCTGTATCACTTTGAAAAATAATGTCTTGAGAACATCGAATTACTATGAATTAATCGAGGAACAGTCACCTTATCTCGAACCAAAGGTGAAACGTTGTAGAACAGGTCGGTTTGTATACTGATCAAATCGCCATTGATGCATGACTGGAAAAACCTATCGTTGACCGACTTGTTGGACACCATTGTTGTTTCAACAACGGGTCTTTGGCAGTAGGATTATAAAACGGTTCTGATGTGGACGTCAATAATAAAAATACTCCGAAGACATAAGTTGTAATCGATGTTATAAGCACTCGTTTGGTCGTTTTGACTGAGAGGAAAGACAACCAAATCCGTTTTCTAAATTAATTCAGTTAAGTATATCGAAACGAATTCACGAGATTGACAGTTTTCGGTGGTTCGCGACCCATTGTAAACAGTCAGATGTTCGTGTGGGTGAGTTAAGTGAGTCTCTGTATTCGGAGCAACGTTTATATCAAATACTGTGTATGATACGGTTTATCGCCGAGAAAATACCGCCGTTAGTCTCTCATAGATAATGTTATCTAAAAGTTGATAACAATGAACGGATAATCATTATCACATATTGAATTTCGGGTAGACGTATTATTACTATATGAACCGAACTCAGTCACTGACTCAAGGTTTAAGAACGCATTAGCTGGTCTCTTCCATTTTAATATTTTTAGTCAAATTTAGACTTATGAAAAATGAGTAAATTAAACAAATTCATAAGGTACGGTAATAATGATGGTGAAATCACGCGTGTAAAACGATAAGTGTTTGGAATGACCTCAGCCATAAGTGTTTACAAATAGCCTTGACATTGTATCGGTATCTGTAAGTGTTCTTACAACATTACTTTGTGTTTTACTTAGTTACACATTAAGAGGAGCATTATTCGGGGCGACAGTGTTCGGTTCGTCTGAGTTGGGCCTATGGAAAGATGGCGAAACATCCCGCGAAGTAGCAAAAATCATAATTGCCATTCTAACTCCTTATGCCAAGAAAGCTGAGTCTCAATTGCCAGACGAAGTGAGTTACTGTTGCCAAATAAAATTCTGATTTACCTATTTGTCTGGTTTCCAGGTAAAACCGTTGCCATCTGTAGAAAATTTGAAATCTACGTCCACGGCAGCTTGGAATAAAAGCGTGTACAATGCTGGAGAGTTTGTCATCAACGCACCCAACAAATGTGCTTGTGCGGCTAATAAAGTGTATGAACTAGTCGAGGTACGATTGAATAAACCTAAAGAAGACCAATAACGATCTTTTGTGTTCAATTAATAAATTCATGTACCATGTTAATGTTTAATAGAAATCTGTTATATAATTATTATGATCCATGTATTATTAAACTGCTCTGATTTTATATAGATTTTTGTTACAGTTCTCAATCTATTGTGCTTAATTAATTCAATAAAGAACTATATTATAAATAAGTATACAAGTATTTAATTTGCCAAAACATACATTGTAATTTCATTTTTTGAAGAAAAATTCTTTACAATTTGACAATTTGATCAAATGAATATTATTGTGCTAATGATTATAGATTAAATATGTGATTTATGTAAATGAATCACATTTTTTAGTATTAAAGCAATAATAGTTTTAAGTATAATAATAAAAAACTATTTCTTAAATATTATAGAACTTCAATTTTCTCTACTTTAATTTCTTATCTCCTTCAATATATATTATATTAGCATATATGGCATTGGCATAACACAAAAATAAATATATAAATAGATGAAAAAAATATATAAATATGTTAGCAAATAAATAAATAGTTATAAATAAAAAGTACAGAAAAAAGTTCTTCATAATTAAAAAAAAATAATCTACAGTCTAACATCCAAGTTGGCCAACCATTCAGCTTCGGAACTTCCGCCCTAATTGGATACCAAGCATCCCTCTTGTATATTTTCTCATGGGGCAGGATTCTACCATGTGTCTCACTGCCTGAAATTCTTTGCAATCACAAAGTGGGGACCTAGTCATCCCCTACTTATGAAGCAGGTAATTGCACCTACCCTGCTCAGTCCTAATTCTATTAATCGTTGTCCAGATCGTGCGTGGAAGTTCAAAACCTGGTAGTTTTATAGTGGGATCTTTAATGAGTACTGAGTTGTTGACTGAGGCTTCCATCCACTGCATTAACCAATGTTTATTCATGTCCAATTCAGTATCAAAAAATTCCCAGACCAGATTTCTTGATTTCGATCTTTTAGATGGGTGATTGAAGATATCTACGCGAGCTGGGAGGTTAGGGTTTGCTTTAATTTTAAGTATTAGGGAACAGATTGCTGCTTGTCTTCTTAAGTTAGTTGGTGTAATATGTGCTAAGACTGGTAACCAATGAGTTTGTGTACTTTTTAGAGTACCTGAAATTATCTTCATTGTTTGATTCATCTATAGGTCGATTATCTTAAGATGCGTATTTATTGACCATATGGGAGCGCAATAACTCTTTCAATGGTTCATTATTATATTCAACCTAAGTGTGACAATAAATTGTAGTTATGGATTATTTAAAGATCAATGATTATAAATACAATTATTTTAATAACCTGAAAAAATTGATCAAATTAATTTTTATGTTAACTCTATTTTATAACATTGAATTTTAATGTTTAAAATGTATAACTAAATTTTTTTAATAAATTAATTATTGTTATAAAGAAAAATTTTTAAGAATTGCATCAGAAAAATAAATTATGAAATGAAATTCACACAATTTTTTTTTTCAATTAAATTATAGTGATATTTAATGGTCAAATATTTTCTTTAATTGATTTTGATGAAAAAAGATGTATATAAATATTGTGAAATTAAAAAAAAAAAAAATTTTGAAATAGATGTACTAATGTAAAATATGACATTTTAAAAATTAGGTAAAGGAACAAGGTTAATTATAATGAGAGCAATACATTTTATATATATATAAAAAAAAAAAGAAATTTATGTATTCCATGTTTCAAACATTGAACATATAATCTGTAAATATTTCTTTATGAAAATGTAAACAGAAACGCAGTTAAATTGTTTAACACAAAAATGTATGAATTTGAGTATCATACATGATTAAAATTGAAAATAGTTATTATTCTAATCTTAGTATAGTTAGTATAGTTATTATATTAATCTTTAATTTTGATAAATATAAGAGTTTAATTTGTTTTTTAAAAAAAAAATATCAAATTATACTCAGTACATTATTGCAATAAAATTACTGATGAAATAAGTAAAAATAAAACTTAACTATCAAAAAATAAATGCATCAAAATATTTTTTAAAATAAAAATAGACTGTTGTTTATAATTTCATCATAACTTTTTATGTTAAAAAACATTTAAAAAGAATGATAAATCCATAAAAAACCTTATCAAATTTCTAATAAATTAAAATGTATTCAATTAATGAACAATGAATAGATGATACTTTATTAATCATCATTATTGAAGCGTAATAAAAAAATAAATAGATCTGCATTGAAATGAATTACATCTTTTATTATAATAAAAGCAAATAAATTACAAGTAGCTGTTGGATGACATTATTTAAGTAAACTATGCTTAAAATTTTATTCCAAGATTCAACAACGGATTTAATTTTAAAATTTAAATAGTTTATAATGTTCTTACATAAATATATATCGGTCAAGATTAATTTGAAATTCTATAGATCAATGATTTGTCTTCATAGAAGTCAATTAACATTTTATAACAGTTTTTAATTTACTGATTTATCTTTAAATTATTTGAAGTTCGTAATTCAATGTAAATTTGTGTCATACACATAACATGTGTAAAACATGTTTGTACATAATTCTTAAAAAATTGAAAAGAAAATTTGTTAAGCAGATGCATCTACTTCCATATTTTCAACTCCCGTTTCTGTCTTAGATGGTTGATCAACTTCCATATTGCAAGTTCCCTTTGCTGCATTACCACTCTTTTGAGGCTTCTTCTTCTTCTTTTTAACAGGTTGCAAAATACCTCTTTGATTTACAGATGTTTTGAGTAAATTCTAAACATAATTTGTAATTATTTATGACTTATTAATATTAATTTATATTTTTCTTTAAATTATAACAAAATAGGTATTATTAACAATATACCAATATTTCTGGATCTTTAATGGATAAATTAGGCACATAAAGATCCTCTTCAAATGGTAATCCTGTTATTCGAGCAGGTCCATTGGCTGTTACTAAAACTGTAAACTTGTATTGAACTACAGTTTCACCTGAAATATACAAAATTGTTAATGAGTTACCTAAGAGATATTTTTTATAATAAATAAAAGAATAAAATAATTTACCTGTTTTTTTCAAATAGAACTTGAAAAGGTTCAATAAGTTTATGATTTACACATTCCATAACGCCCATTTTTGCTTTCTTTTCATCCTCAAAATTTCTCAAATTGAATGGCATTATACTGTGTTTTTGAATAACTTCGGTGTAAAAAATTCTGCGAAAATAAAATATATCATGCAATATAAAATATTAAGTATAAAATACTAATAACTCAAACAATACTAACCTAGATGCTCGAAGTTTCAAAGGATAAACTTCATCTGTTTTTTTGAAAACAGACACCTTAGCAGTTGTTTCTCGTGCAGCACCACTTCCCGTGCTTACAAGAACATCTAAAGCGTAGACTTCATTAGCCTCAATTGTTGCCTTTTCGTGTTCTTTACGATGTGATTCGCTTGGATTTTGAATAATTGTTTTAGGGCCATCTAATTTAAATTGTTGCAATTGATGGCTAAGCATACCTTCAACTGGTTTGCAATCAAATTCTTTACAAACTTTCATTACCATATCAGTTATTTGATATGTCTAAAAATTAACAATAAAGAAAATAATGATTTATTGTTGAATTTAAAATCAAAATATAAAAAAATAAAATAAATATTAGATATAACTGATACTAACATCATTGCCAGGCCGCATCAGTCTTAATGCTGCTTGAGATGCATAATGAGCAGCTAAGAAACAGTTAGCTTTTTTATCAGTGATTTTATTTTCAGAATTAGCTCCTACAACAATAGTATGGGCAATCATAGAAATGAAACCATCTAAATGAACTCCTAAATCTCTAAAAAATTAGAATTAGTTCATTAGCAAGATCTATATATTTTATTGTTTTTATCATTATAACATACATTTTTAAAACATCATCCTTTGCAATTGTATGATCTGGTTCACTTGTAATAGGTGAAAAATGGCAAATACAGCTGTTGGCAGATATACAAACGGGAAAAGCAATACCTAAATTGTAATACATTTTTTTTTTCTTAAAAAATGTATAAATAATAAATATATTATTTAATACCTTTTTTCATTTCTTTTTCTTTTTTGAATACTTTACTAGCCTCTTCTATTATTAAATTATCTCCCCATATACATACATCACGAACTGATGCACCTTCTACACATTTTTCTATTATTTCAACAAGAACTCCTGAAAAATAATTATTATAAAAACATAATCTTTTTAAATTATGAATAAAAATATTAAATATAATTAATAATAATAATTAAAATAATAATCAACTTGACAATATTTTTAGTTAATAACCTATTACACATACATTATCATGTAACATTATTCTATAGTTTATAACCAATGAACTTAGTTCTCAACGAGAAACATCTAACCAATAGCATTTAAAAAGTCAATTAATCAGACATACCATTAATTGATGTCAAGAGGGATTGACTGAGTCACTCTAGTGAACATTTTTTTTAAAAACTAGTACAATAAGAAAATTATCTATGAAAACTGTAAATGAAAAATGTAACCAAAGTAAAAATGCTTATATTATTACTATATAATGTATATTATTAAAAGTTATAATAATAAAAACAAATATATCTTTATGGAATACCATAGAAAGTTCATATGAAAATACATAGAAGTAATGAGTAAAGTAGGGCTAAAATGTTGATACTCGGTATATTATAATTGTATTTTACTGAAAAACGATAGGTTTCAATTAGTCAATGAAAATCGAGTATACGGATGTTTTGAATTCAACAGAGTATCCGCGACAACAGTTCCATAGGAATTAGTTTAAATAGCGAAGACGGTAACGATCAACGTTTAGGGAAGAGCTATAATCGTCATAATTTTTAAATGAAAAAAAAGTGACGAACCACACGGAACGATGACGTATGGAGAAAGTCCGCCTGGAAGACACATGAATTATGGTATTCATAGCCCTATCGAGTTGTTTAAGACAGCAGTTGGAGGGAAAAATTCACGAGGAGCAAGTTTCATAGGAGAATTTTATGGTCCCCCAAGAGTCGCCCCCTGGAGACACAATCCAGAGAGCGGGACTACGTTTGTAGGTTATGTGACGAACGCGTAAACCGTGGCACAACGTCCGCACGGTGCGCACGACTACATCGACCACAGGCGGGTGGGGAAAATGCCGGCCGTCATCCACCACCTTAAGAAAATCGTTTTTCCAGTCGACTTGAAGGTGCAAGGAAGCATTTAGAGGAGTGCTGAGGGTAGGTAGAGGTATCGGGTTCGACTTACGGTTAGCGATCTCTCCAGCAGTTTTGTACTTGATCACCACCGCCTCGTCGGCAATCGTCGCTTCGACTTCTTCGTTGTCTTTGTCGGCCATATCGTATCTATGGATCGAACTGTACGGAACGAATATATCGTACACGGAATTACAATCGTATAACGGGCAACGGCAAGACAGCAATCAGTAATCGACGTGCATGCACGATACAACACAAAACACACGATTCGCTGGACGGACAATACACCGAATTATTTATTGTAGTTCGCGGCAGATAAAATGTGAGGGGGGTGTAGTGGGGAGCCGTGTACTGAAACGAATATACTGCGGTAAACAACATCGGTAACAGGTTGACCGGCTGTGAAGACACGAAAATTCCCGCTCACAGTCCATCTAAAGTAGTTCAAATTATGAAAAAAATATGTTAACCGTCTGCCACATAATTCTGTGCTCGCTAAAATTCAGTTTTTTCAAACGTTTTCCGTAAGACTTACGAACCGTTTATAATCGCAATTAAAATACGGTTTTATAGCGCACGTAATTTTAGATCTCGATGAACGTAAAGTTCATCAGCGCACAAAATATACTATTCAACCATAATTTGACGGGTTCGATTTAGTATTTTGTTGAATTTTCATTTACTATTCGTATCGTCCAACTTTCGTTTTCCATACGCATTGGTACTATTATCACATGTAATGTACGAACGCCAAAGTTTTTGGCCAAAAATAGGTACCTATTTTCGGTTTGAGTTTAATTTTTATGAACCGCGGTGAACGTACAGGTGCGCCACTTGTTGCGCTGGCAAAGTTCCACGGGAGAAGCATTTTTTAGGATCACATTTTTTAAAAAACATGGATTTATTTAATAGGTTCAATTATAACTACAAGACATACAATTTCGGATTCACGAATCTATATTCGTTTTTAATAATTATTCGTCGATTGGAGCGTAGAAATGAACACGTAAACGCGGATGACACATGATATAGTTTCAATACCGATCACCCTGTCACCGTGCACGATGTGGTTAACTCATGATCAGTGGTCATTGATAACGGTAACCATACATTCAAACGTATCTTCTAAGACCGCGACAACAATATTAACCCTACGATTCAGATATGAAGATTTGATTCTCGTGCTCGTTAGAATTTGTAACTTAGTATTCATACCAATCTGTAAATGTAAATGTGTAATTGTATCTTATAAATTTGTGACAGTTCTGATGTGCCCGTCTGTTAACTAGACTGTCGCTACCGAAATCACAGAGTATCCAATCTCGATCAATTCATATACCGTTTTCTTTTGTTTTCTGTTTTTGACAACTTAAAGCTAATGTTGATCTCGAAACAGAATTAAAGATGATGTAGTTATAATATAATTTATAACTTTTGTGCAATCACGAACCGGAAATCATATCCGACTGGTCGTCAATAATTTTTTGATTATTTCTCTTGTATAAATTCTGACTAAATAGTAAGTAATTTTATACCTAAATTAAATTCTAACCATTTTTATATCCCATGTTATTTATTTTCAATTTTTATTTTTTTATTATTTATTGGTCCTTTTTATTATAATCAACTTAATATTCACTAGAAACATTAAACTAATATCCCAACTTTTAAATAACTTGAAAATATTATTGAAAGTATAATAAATTAATGTGAAAGTAATCTTTATTATAAAATAAAATTATCCAATTAATTTACAGTTGTAAAAATATCTTATATATTGGCTTGCCAATCGTCCTGATTTGACCGAGACAGTACCAGTTTTTAAGGTATGTCCTGGTGTCCCGGTCGATCATTCCGTTTGTCCCGGTTAATAGAAGCTGAGAAAATAACATTTAGAATTGTACAATTTAATAATAAAACAAAACAATATTGTACATTATATCGTTAAGCCAGGTTTACACGGTGTGAATCTGACGCATGAGGCAAGATTCGTGAGGCATCTGATTCACCTAAATGGTTACAAGATACATATCTATGCACGAAACAATGTGATTCAGGGCAAGGCAACGATGAGGCAACTCAATGAATTGAATACATTGATTTTGATCCATGGCGCTACGCTTGAGGCAAGACACTCAAAGAAGTAGTTCACACAACGTAAATCTTCTTTGACATTCGACCAAATACCGACTAAGCTTCCGCTCACCATGAGGCATTCTCGTTTAATTCGCTTATTACCCGAGGCAAGTTCAGACAGGGCGAAACATACAGAATCTTGACTTGCGCCTCAGATTCGTGTCGTGCAAACCCGGCTTTACAATATGGTTATCTAATCGGTATGGTCATGTACAATAATAATGTATTTTTGTAACCATATGAACATAAAAAAAAAAAAAAAGTCATCATTCGGTCATTCGATATAGTGTCCTAGTTTAGGGATTTCAAAATCAGGCAACCCTGCTTATATACAATATAAAAACTAGTAACTTATTTACTTTTTACTATCACATTTAGTACTTTTAGGTATTTAATTCTTAAATACTCAATGTTTTGTAATCACATGTCTTTCATTAGTTAAAAAAAATTCTAATTTTAAGTTAGAAAACTATAATAGTAAATTACAAGTTTAAGTTATTATTATAAACCAATTTTTGCATGTCTTACAGTTATCAAAAATATGTCTTATCAAGAGTTTAGCGTAGAGTTCATAGAGCCTGAAGAATTTGATGATTTTTCTCGCACAGATACTGAAGATTCAGATAGTGTAGAAAACATGGAGGATGAAGAATTAGATGTTGATATTGATAATGATGGTTCTAGAAATTCTAGTTCAGTTTCACAAGCTATGTGTAAGAATTATTTAATTTTTATAATCTTTGTTATAAGTATAATTTAATTAGATGCATAATATCTACATTCTAGGTAAAGATTTAAAAAATAAATTCATATTTGTGCTAAGATTTGGCTTTCTTACTCTATAATGTATGCCACTTTTTCTATCTTGAAACCTAACAGAATCATATTTTTAGTAATATTCAAGTCCTTTAAAATTATTGCTTGGTTATAAATTGAACTGGACAAAATATTAAAAATAAATAAAGGTTTTCAAAATAAATTGTCTTAATCACTTTTTGTTTTGCATATTATTAATTTAAATTATTTTTATGCCAGTATAGTGTATTTATTTAATTTTATATGTATTACATTTTTTAAAATGTTTTTAACAAATATCCTAAGATAACAATTGTTGTATTTGAACTTAAGGTTCTTTAGGTGTAATATACAGCCTCTACATTTTTCCTGTATAATCGACTTAAATTATTTTATTTTCAAAAAGTATTTTATAATTTATGTTTCTTCATTAATTAATATGGCCATAAACATTGTATTTAAATTTCTGTTGCAGGGGATATCCTTGATTCATCATCAAATGGGTCTGAAGAACCTAATCAAGCACACGTAGACTTAATTGGACTTGGAAGAGTAAATTAATTATTGTTATTATTATTATAATTATTATTATTTAATACCTACTGCTATAATATAATTTTTATAGAAAATTAATTAGATTTTAAATCTTTTTAAATTAATTTTTTTTATTGAAGTTTATTACATTTATTTTAATTAAATTTTTTATATATAAGAGCATACGTCCTTATTGTAAGACTTATCATTGTACATAAAAATTACATTTTAGATTTAAACCAAAGGGTGTAAAATGAGTAAAAGTCAACTTTATTTTCTAAAAATCCCTTCAAGAAGGTAATACTCGTGGAACCCCTCCCCTATACTCTACTAGTGAATCTAGGGGTAGATCTATTTAATTCCGTATAAAAATTTAGTGATATTAAATTATATTTTGTAGAAAAATAAATTAATTATAGTAACTAGTTTTTTTTTTAAAAAAAAAGTTAGGTATTACACTGCTAATTATACCTAAAATATTAATTAATAATCAAGGAGTCAACTTAATTGTTATAAAAAGACTATCTACTAAAATATTTGACTTACCTTTGTATGTTGATAGAGTCAAAGTAGAGTTTTACCTGAAAGTAATTTACAATCGATGGATCTTGACATTTCCCAACAACCTTCATGTTCTACATCAGCTCAAAATATCAAAGAACCACAAACAAGTTCTACTTCTGCAAACACTAATGGTGATAAAATAAAGTTTTTTAAATAATATTTTATCCTTCTATTTTTTATTAAGCAAGTAGAATAAATTATTATAAATAATTATATAATTTTTTTCTTCTTAGATTCTGAAAATACAGATGAAGCATTTTCTTGTTCAATATGTTTAGATGGACTTACTAGTTCTGGTGATCATAGACCTGCATGTTTAAAATGTGGTCATATTTTTGGAGAGCAATGTATAATAAGATGGATTAAGGTTATTGTTAAAGAATGGTTTATAAATATTTGTTGTATTAATTTTGTATTAATATTGTTTCTGATTATGCATTAGACTGGATGTAACAGTGATGCAAGAAGGTGTCCAACGTGCAACACTAAAGCTAGTTTAAAAGATATTAGAATTTTATTTGCTAAAAAACTTGTAGCAGTTGACACTGCTTTGTTAACCGATCTTCAAAATAAACTGGAAAGAGTAAGAACCTTTTTAAAAAATAGTTATTATAGAAATAATATAAATAATATAATATTATGTATAATATTTTTGCGCTGAAATTTTTACTTTGTTAAATTTTGAACCATTTTTAATATATACCTAAAATTTTGAATTCTCATAGGAAGTAAAAAAAAATATATCGTTAACAAATGAATCACATGCCTTAATTGAAAGAGCTGAATGTTTATCTAATGAAAATTTAAAGTTAAAAACTTTGTTAAGTGGGTGTAATGTATCACCAAATGCTCCTACTACAAAACGATCACTCATGAAAAACATAAGATTATGTAAAAATTCTGAGTGTAGAGTTATGACCTATAACAAAATGAATATGATGTTGGTAAGTACTTTTACCTCTTTTAATTTGTATTGGTTTTTTTCTTTAACATATTATCATTATCTATATTGCTTATCAGGTAGTGTCTCAAAAGGCTGAAACATCAATATTCAATAATCAAATAATCAGAAAGATGAATGCATCATTAATGATGAATGAAACATTAATTGCTCCACCCGAAGAAAAAATTTATGTACATTCCAAACAAATACGTGATATGTCGTTTCATCCAATTGAACATCATGTATTAGTCTCTGTTGGTTTAGATAAAAATGTCAATCTATTAGATATGACGTCCAATGCAGTGATTTCTGATATTGAATGTAATATAATTCTTTTTTTTTTTTTCTTTCAAATATTCTAATAATCACATTTTCAGTGGATGAACCTTTGTGGTCATGTTGTTGGGCTGGTGACAATTCAAATGTTTTGGTAACAGGTGGTCAAACTGGTACCTTGTTCTACATTGACAAAAGAGTTATGAAGGTGTTTCACTCTGAGCATAAACGAACTCCTGCTTGTGTTTCACTTGTTTCAATTCCTCCATCAAGTACACGAGTATTTCCTAAAGGTGGTTTTTTGAGAACTCGAATGGATTTGCTGTCTATGTTTGAAGCATCATGTGCCCCTAATTTCTACCAAGAGACTGAATTGCCAGTAAGAGGTGTGTGGAGTTGTGCTTCCTATGATACACGTTATAACCATATACTTTTGTCATCCAAACCTTGTGGTAACAACAAGGTAACCCGACATATTGTATCAAAATTATCATCCTTGAATGAAGATAGCCTTTCATTACAGCCAGTGGTCACCTTTTATGGTCAGTATTATCTATTATTATACATGCAATGTTTATAATAAATTGTTTTATATTTATGTGTTAATTTTTAGTGGCTTATGATGATTATTTTTACATTATCAATAACATGAAATTTAAAATGTTTTATGAACAATTTCAGGTGGGGATAAAGCTACACAACTAACTCGCTCATGTTTTGTGCCAGCAAAAGAACCTTATGATGAAACTTTAGTAGCATATTTCGACGAAAAATCAAACTGTATACAATTATGCAGTTTGAACTCTAACTCTTCTGTTCACAAATTTAGCGTTCAAGAACCAATTTTAGATTTATGCTATTTAGATGGATTGGTCATGAATAGAAGACGGGTAATAGCTGCTTTGTCAGCTAAATCCATTAGTATATATTGTGTGTGAAAAACAGTGGTATAATTGTTTATGTCTCATTTGTGTATATTCTTTGATTTTATTTTATTTATGAAAAAAGTTGTCGTGGCTTTTGTTTATAACAGTTAAAATATTATACTATTTCTCAATACTCTTTCCAATGTTTTGAATCTATTACCTATTTTTAATTGGAATTAAACAATAAAGACTGAATTATTGTTAACATAAAACAATTATTTATGTAATATAAACATATTTTCTTAATACAAATATATATTCACTTTTACCATAAAATGGTTTATTTAGTCTTATTAAATTTATACAGAATATAAATTTCACAAAAATTTTAGATATTTTATTTTTGTAATTTTTAAAGCTCTAATTTAAACCTATTAATTAAAATGAATAATGACAATTATTGTAGATAAAATAAAACTTTTTGATTATTTTAAAATTGTCTGGAATATATTTAAATAATTTATACTTATTTACCTCTGTTGTATTTTTGAATTTGTCTCTTGTTTAAGACAGATAAATTATGATAAAGTTATGATATGATAAACAATTATTATTCTATACTTCTGTAGTGATACACAAAAAATAAATTATATAATTCAGCTTTGGTGTTATTTTTAGACAAAATTATGTATTAAATATAATTTCAAATCACTACATAATCTTAAAAAAAATAAATACATAACTATATTGAGCTGTAGTAAATACCACTTAATCACATGCAAGTAAAATAAATTGATAACCGACTTCTATTACATATTTCACCATTAACTTCAACATGCTAATATGAGGACTAGTTTATTAATATAATTTGGACAATCTGTTGGCAATATATTTTTTTTTTTTTGAACCAAGTGGTTAATCTGTAGACAAATGTCATTTCATGCATCTACTTCCTTGTAGTACATCAACAGTTAGATCAAAATTCTATAATTAAAAACCGAGACATCAAAAATAAACACAAAGAAAAGATAAATTATAATACTTAAAGGTATGTAAATAAAAACAAATAGTTCAATTATAAGAGTATATTATAAAATGTAATGATTAAGTAACATCTTATTTAAGGGTTTGATATGTATGAGTTTACATTAACCATGTTTAGTATTAATTCAAATAAAACAAATATAAATAAAACATAAAAACAATTATATTATTTTAACACTTAAACAAAATATATATTTTACGGATAAAAAAAAAAACAAAAAATGTATGTATAAAAAAAATATATATATGTATATCAAATTTTCATTTTATTTACAAAAAAAAGTGTGTCAGTCTAACTCCAGATCTAATATCTAACATTGATAAAAATAAAATAAAATTAGAATTTAACAAATATTTAAAAGTAGATATTGAAATAAAATAGTCACATTTAATAAAAGTTTTAAGTGACCAAATGATTCAGGGCCAAACTAAGTACGCAATTTTAGGAGTCAAAATTCCCATAATCACACTTGATATTAAGTTGACACTGTGATTATCTAATATTCTCCTCCCAGATATGTGCATGACATCTTTACCTGGCTGTTCTACAATTACTCCAGTATTTCGATTATAACCTGAATTTAAAAAATAACAATAAATAAACAAGTAACGAATCCAAACTAATTAACTACTAATCATATAACAATGATAAATTTGAAATAAATCATCCCAAATGAATATTTTTTTGATAGTTTAAATATGTATACCAACATTAAAAATATTAAAATAAAATGTAGTTACCACTATACTGTAAGGTGGCACCTAATACAGAATCAACAATACTGCCAACTAGTCCAGCAAAACCACCAGCAATTATTATTGGCCACTGTGCAGGACTTCGAGCTAACATATCTGCATCAATCATGTAGATGAGCATTGCATAATTTGCCAATCCAATAGCAAGACCGCCCAATAAACTGACAACTAATCCAATAGCTGTTATACCACCATTTGTACCTGGACCATACATCGTACAAATAATATTTCCATTGCACTTTTTGCAAATACTAATTCAAATTAAAGAAAGTCCTAAGCTTGATTTAATTTGATTAAGTTACAAAATCTAAAGAATTACCTTTGGGAACTGGTTTACAAGTGGTTATCAATACAGGTAATCCACTATCCAAGACTGTCGCCAACTCTGAAGCCCACGTATCACCATTACAACTAGCAAAAGCACCTGAATGAAAAACAAAAATTAATTTACATACTATAACTCAAATATAAAACCTTACCTAGTATTCCAAGGGATAACCAAGACGGTCGATAATAACGGTTGAAATCAATGGGTAGTTCACCACATCCAACATCTAAAATGTATAAGAGTGCTAATTGAGTAGCCATGCCACCATTGCATAATACCTGAATCCAGTTTCTTTGTCCACCTAAAAATTTATTGGTAAAATATTCAACAGCAAAAATTGAATTATTGATGTACCTTCTTTAAAGTCTGATTCTAATTGCTTTTTAGTTTTGCTTCGAAATTTTGTTGCACGTGAAGATGTAACAAAGAAGGTAAGTAAACAAGCAAAGAATCCATAATTGCTTAATGTCAAAACAAAACCAACAAATACACCTAAATAAAAAAATGTATAATGTTAATATATTTGAAAGTGCACTTATAGTTTCGTAAATGCAACAAATTATTATTACAGTTTTAGACTCTAAAAAGAAATTCTTACCCAATAGTGCACCGCTAAGATTTAAACTGCGTTTAGTATAACCCCATACAGCCATAAATAATGGAAGGAAAATAGATATAAACCAACGGAATGGCGGAAGTCCCTCTAAAAGTTTTACCAAATAATTAGTTCATGGTTATTTTTAAGTATAAAAATTTGTATAATAAAAATATATGTTTAAAAATAAATATCACCAATATTAGCATTCTATTAAACATTAAAATTCAATATTTCATTCAGAAAAATAATGATATAAATATTTCTTAAACTAATGTATAGTACACAATGAAAGTTAATATTTATAAGTTGATGAGCTTACCATCTAGTTCATTTGTATTATCGCCATATAATTTTCTGAACAGAATATTGATAATCCATAATATCATTGACAATGGAATGGAAATCATTGTTAAGGCAACTGATATTGTTGGCTTTGAAACATTCATGTCTTCAGAATCATTTTTAGTTTTAGCCATAGTGATAAAAGAAAAGAATCGTTTTTGGAACACTAAAAGTGAAAACTAAATAAATACTTGACTCATAAAAAACAATAAATTATTCTTTTAAAAATATTGAATATCAACAAAACATTAACAACAAAGTGTTTATATAATAAATAATTGTGTAAGAAAAAAAATAATAGTACATTAATTGCTAAGCCTGATCAATTTATTTAATAATAAATCATATTATCGAAAAATAATTCAATAACTAGAACATTTTAAATACTATTAAAACAATAATAATGTGTTTTATATTATAATTATGTAACAAGAAAATAATAGCATTCTATCCAATCATTTATTAAATAATAATGATCAACCAAGATAAAGGTTAATTTAAGATAAAACTTTAATTCATACTAATAATTTGTAAAAATGTCCAATGTAAAAACCCAATTTATAAAATAAACTAAGGTTCTTACTTAAAACTAATATATCATTGGTTGAAATTAAACTTTAAAATTATTCTTTAAATTTAAAGTTTATAGTATAAGGATTTATAAAAATAATCAGCAAAGTTTAGGTGAGTTATAAAATATATTATATCAAAAAGAGTGTCTTATACCGAGGAGATATTTCAATTTTAAATTGTGAATTTCTGCCATACAGGAGTTTAAATTACTTCTATTATTTAATAATGGCAGTTGACTGGTGGTCAGTATATCCCTGTCCTCATTTGTTATATCAATTTGTTTAGATACATATGATTAAGCATATGTATGGCTGTATGAGTAACAAATAACAATAAAATTATAAATATAAATACTTAGACCATAACTATACTTATAAAATACTTTACATGCCAAGTTTAAATATATATCATGGATTACGTGTAATTACACCATACTTAATTAAATCACTTTGATTTGTATGGTATAATATTCAACGGATATATTAAGTATTTTAATTATTAAATTATTGAAGAACGAACAAACAATAATTAATTTCCATAGAAATATTGTTGTACAGGTATAAATATTTTATAAACGATATATACTAATTTTATATTTTAATTATTTTATAAAATTAATACTTGTCATTATACACTTTATAATTATAACAATTTAATTTGTATAATAAATTACTAGATGGGTAAATCTAAACAACTTAACTCACGAGTTAATTTAATGATTGACTTAATAGTTCATTTATAATAAAGAAATAATGATTATTATAACTATGTTTTTTCCAGTTAATTTGAATAATAATTATCTAAGTAAAAATAAAAGTATGATTAGATTTTTACATTTTTTAAATATTAGTAAAATAATTAGTAAATACATATAATACCATAAAGCATGTATTATTATATTTTTATTGGACAGAGATGGGCAACTCAAATTAGAGGGAAAATGTGTACCAGATTTAGATCAGAGTAAAATAAAAAATTAAAGTGAGAGCATTTATTTTATATAATTAAATTTTATGACTGAATCAATACAATGAAATAAGTACCTAATACCTATAGCTATGTTTGCTATGCTGATATGGATATATATTATATTTAAACGTTTAATAATTTAGCTGCAGTTCAATACTAGATAAGAATATACGAGTAATATCAATATTTTATAACTAATGTAATAAAATTAAATATCGATAAACACTGAAATGTTATGAAGTTATTTGAAAATAATGCATAGGCCAGATAAAAAAAGCTGGATGAAAGTTGTCCATCTTTTCTGTAGGGAATACTCTTAAACTTTTTGTTATAAATCTATAAGCGTTCTACGAACACACCCAAACAATTTAAGAAAAAGAAAAATTGTTTACTCAGGAAAGGTTTTGTTAAAAATATTTTGATCAAAGTTTTATTAGTGATGGTTACAGTAATGTTATAGAACAATAGATACAAAGAAGTACAGAAATAATTTCGTACTAACAAATTTAATTAAATTTAGGTGAATTTAAAATGAAATTTGTTGCATTCATGTCTCCCATTTTCAGGAACCGTTAATAAAAAATATATGAATTTCAGATATTACTTAAAAATTGATAAAATCATTTTTAATGAAACTAACATTTTCCTTATTGTCAACTATAATAACATTTTAGATTTGATCAAACTTAACTTACTCAAGTTAATTATACTTGATCACTTGTCAACCATGTCAAAGAAAAACCACATCACAAAAATACTACAGTACCATACAGGAATGGGATATATAAGGAGGTTCTGAATAGATCAATATGCAGATGTGTTTTAATCCGATTGCAAAGCAAGCACCTTCACGCCAGTTAACTTAATAAACTTAATGTTTCGGACTTGAAATTATTTCGCAAATAATGCTTTGAACTTGGGATATTTTATAATAAACAGTTATTGGCTTTAAAGTCGAGTTATAATTTAAAACATCATCCATGCTTATTCAACACCACGACGGTTGAACTGACGGCACGCAACACTACATAAACCTATAAATATGCATATCATCACCATAAGCGTGTGCAGACATAACTGGCAGGGTAGTCAAACATAACACATTATCATTTAATATTAACAAAAAATTTGCATTCGTAACTTTATTTAACTTAATAACTATATTTCTCCAGTATTCTTACATTTTTTTTAACGTTAACTAATGTTTCGAAGTGGTTGAAAATAATATGTTTATTTATTATTGTGATCATATTGAATATTTTGGTGAGGGTGGGAAGTTTCACAGAATAGTCAAGTACCTACCCTGACTACCCCGTGTGCACGCTTATGATCATCACCAATGAATAAATCGGTAATAATTCGTTGATAGATTTTTTCCAAACGAATCATGTTTGGGGAACTTACAACATATGATTTTTTTCTTACCGAGCGGAAAAAACGTAAAATAACGTTAGAGTTACCTGACTGCGCAGACACTGATCGTACAATGGTCAGCAAAAAGGTCGAACGATAAACGAACGGAGTGTGTAAAAGCTAAGAGTGCACGTCTCGACGCGGCCATAAATTACGAAACGGTGTGGTCGTAAGTGACGGCGTAGACGTCGTCTGGTTCACTGGCCGTTTACTGGCGGTGAGACGATCGTTGTTCGGCCATCCAAACAGCTATTAATTTTCAAAGCGTTTTGCGATACGCGCGATCCCAGCAGCAACTGTACACGAGCAGCACGTCGTCGCCCCCGTGGCGGCCGTTTATCGGCTTATCGCGAACGCGCGCGCGCGCACTAGGCAGTCGTCGATAGCCCCCGCGTTATCCAACGGAAAACAGCTGTTCGGCCGCGAGATAACTCTGTTTATTTTGGTAATGCCAAATTTGGAGTGTTTTGGAGCGCCGAGCGCGACGTGTGTTGTTGCTGCTGCGTTGTGTGCGTAGGATTGCCGTAGTCGTCGCCAACATCCGCTTCTCGATCTAGGCCGTAGCCGTTCATTTCCGTTCGCTCGCTGCCCGTGCACTCGCCGCCGAAATGGAAGACATATTTCAATGGTGCCGTGAAGGCGTTGCTATGCAGGTTCGGGTCTGGCTCGACGACACCGAACACGATATGAATCAAGGGTGAGTATCGCGATTTGACCGTCCCAAATGCATTTGCCTCGATTTTTTCCCACCTTCCCGACCCCGTGCACAGCAGTGTCCATTGTATGAACTTGTTGCATGATTGTCTTATGCGTTGGTCCTTAGCGATGACCACGGGTTTAGCCCGTTGCACTGGGCGGCCAAGGAAGGCCACTTGAAAGTCGTCGAGATGCTTGTGCAGAGAGGTGCCCGCATTAACTCCACGAACCGAGGTGACGACACGCCTTTGCATTTGGCAGCAGCGCACGGCCATCATGAAATTGTGCATTTAGTGAGTGGTGTTTAACATGTTTATGAGACATTTTTATCGCTTCCATTTTGCAACCATTATTTCATTATGTTTTAGTTGTTGAAAAATCGTGCTGATATTAATTTTACTAATGAACATGGTAACACTCCATTGCACTATGCTTGTTTCTGGGGTTATGAAGCAATTGCCGAGGAACTTATTGAAAATGGGGCACTAGCAGCTGTAGCCAATAAAGATGGCGATACTCCTTTAGATAAAGGAAAAGGACCAATCGTAAAACACCTTAAAGGTATTTCATTAATTTGTGCTACCTTTAACTTTTTTTTTGCGCTTTTATTAATTAAAATTTTATTATAGATTTGGCGTTACAGTCTGGACAAGATCTAACTAAAATCATTTTTAAAGATCAAAGTTGGTTAGGTTTGAAGACAAGGAGCCGTAAGTTATTTGAACTTATAATAATATTTAATTTGTTTATTTTTATAGTTTATACTACCATTGATTAATAACATTAATTTAAAGTAAGCTAATAATTTATATAAATTTATTTGTATTTTTAATTAAACTGTATTATTTTATATAATGTTAACAAATTAAATAAATTGCTTTGGTTTGTATAATTATTAGGTTATCAACTTCTGTTATTTTGGGTTATTGAAAGAAATTAGATTATTTTTCTTCTCCTTTATCTTTCACCCAACTATTTGGAGTTGGCCACCCTTGTCCTAAACCTCTACTCATCTCGATTTTCTCCATTCCCTACACACACACAAACGGCCCTCATATAATTTTCAATCGTATCCAATCATCTCTTTTTTGGTCTTATTCCTCTTCTGATTCTCCTCTTCCTCTTTTCCCTCCAACATTAATTTTCAACACAACTCTTACTGCATTTGTTTTCTCTTGTCTCATTACATGCCCAAACCATCTAAGTCTATTTTTAGTCATCTTGTCCGCTATAGACACTACACCAACACTAGGTACCTCTTACATATTTGTTCCTTATTCTATCTTCTCTTGTCACTCCATTCATCTATCTAAGCATTCTTATTTCCACAACACTAATACTCTGTTTTATTTTCCTGTCAACAGCCTAACACTCTGAACCATATAGCATAGTTCTTCTCACTGCACTCCTCTCCTGTAAAATTTTACTCATTTTTTTATTTTTTTTAATTGAAATTTTTTATTAATTATATATATATATATATATATAATTATTTGAGTACTCATCTAACCAGAATAATATCTTGATATAAAAAATGGCTGTCATTTAAATTGTATTTCTATTTAATATGCACAAAAAATATTTTTATTTTTATTAGTTTACAATTATGTATTATCTAATTTACTATCACAATTTATTTTAGTGCTAAAAAATTTTTTTAAAAAAAAATTGTTTATGCGGTACAACCCAAACTTAGTTCTCCTATACAATTTGTACTTCATGATATTTATATTGAAATTAAATAATATTTTTAAGAATACATTTAAGATGTATATGTAGTTTATGTATGTAATTCACCAATATTTTGCTATAACTCTATTTAATCTTTTATTTTCTACATTATTTAGGTGATGCTACATTATCACGCCATAAAGGAATTAATTTAAGTGATCTGTACTTACATACCAAAATGGCTACCTCGCCTAGTGGAGAAACATGGCGTGGACATTGGCAGAAAAATGATATTGTTGCTAAAGTGTTAGCTGTTCGACAATGTACTCCTCGAATTTCAAGAGACTTCAATGAAGAATTTCCAAAACTCAGGTGATTAAGTGATATCAATTATAATTACTTTTACTGAATCTAATAATGTTATTATTTGGTTTGTAGAATATTTTCGCATCCGAATGTACTCCCAGTGATTGGATGTTGTAACTCTCCTCCAAATTTGGTGGTTATTAGTCAATATATGCCATGGGGATCACTTTATAATTTATTGCATGAAGGAGCTAGAGTTACCGTGGATACTGCTTTGGCCCTTAGACTTGCTGTAGATGTTGCTAGAGCTATGGCATTTTTGCATAGTCTAGAAAGAATTATACCACAGTTTCATTTGAACAGTCATCATATTATGGTATAATAATTTTTTATAATTTTTTATTTATACGTATGCTGTATTCAACATTATTTATAGATCGATGAGGATCTTACAGCTAAGATAAATATGGCAGATGCTAAATTTTCATTCCAAGAAAAAGCAAGGGTTTACTATCCAGGATGGATGTCTCCAGAAGGTATATCTTATTAACTATTTCTAATAAATTATGAATTATTTTCCTTAAATGTAATAACTAATTTATTTATTGAAACCAATCTATAATTTATAGTTTGATTTATTTGTATGACTTAATTCTATTACAGCTTTACAAAAAAAGCAAAGTGAAACGAACTCCGAAGCGTGTGACATGTGGAGTTTTGCAATTCTTTTATGGGAATTAGCTACTAGGGAAGTTCCATTTTCTCATTTGTCACCAATGGAAATAGGAATGAAGGTATATTTTTAGTTATTTATATTGTATGAAACCCAATCAAAGTGTTTTTAAATAAATGGTTTTACCTTTAGGTGGCTTTGGAAGGTTTAAGAGTGTCTATTCCATTAGACATTTCACCACATCTCACTAAACTGATTAAGATATGCATGAATGAGGATCCAGGCAAGAGGCCTACTTTTGACATGGTGCTTCCGATTTTGGATAAAATGAAAAGATAATAAAAAAAATAAAAATCTAAGTACCACAAGTAAAATAAAAATCTTAATTTAATAAAGATAATATCCAATATTTTTTTATAATTATTTATTTTTACTCTGAATTGCAAGTGATCAAATATTTAATATATATGGTTTCCTTCAAACATAAATTAAAAATAATGGGCAATTATATTGAAATTAATTTCTACTTTTTAATACTTACAAAATAACTCTGTATACAAAATAACAGCTAAGAACTGGTTGATACTTCCTCCTAGTTTTGATAAAATTTGATTCTTAATACTTTGCAATGGAAAACAATCAGTTTTGGTTTTTGTGCTATCATATTCTTTGTGTGTACACTAGTATAGACTAGTGAATTGTTATGAAATGCTTGTCTATCATTCATACACTGTGGAAATGAGTTATACTGATATAATTTGAATCTCTAGATTAGTATGATCAAAACCTTGTAGATACAGCAAAAATGCATGTATATATAAAATAAAAGTGATGATTACCATAGCTTAATTATTAAAATAACTCGATTTTTTAAGGGTTCTTTTAATGTTGCTATCTATTTTGTATGCTATATAATATGTACTTATAATTTTGTTGAAAATTTCCATAAATTATATTTCAAATTTTCAAATGAATTATATTTTATAAAAACAGTTGAAATCAATTAAATTAAATAATATATGATTAAGAACTTAACTTGACATTTTATAGCATTAAATATTTTTGGACTACTATTTATATATTCCAGCATGAGCTTCCTGTTTAATGCAGACTAATAAGACTTAAATGTTAACTATTTATTAACATTAGATACATAGTAATTAAATATTATTATATTTTATAGTTAATTTATAGCTACATTACACTGAATTTTTGTCTCTGCGGTTAATGTATACATTATTTATTTTTGAATTCAGCAATATAGTTTTCAAATGCATAATGATCTTGATAGATTTGTATTGTTTACTTATCCTTGGAGCATATTAAGTTCATTGTATACTTCTTTTTTTTTTTTTTTTTAGTTATTTTTTATAGATACAGCCAAATCAAAACTTAAGTTGATAAACTTTTGTTTTAAAAAATATATATTTAGTTAGTTCCATTAGTGGTTATGTTAGTCACACTAATATTATATGCTAGACAGGTTTTTAATTATTATTGTTGTACATCAGTTATTGATATTCAATGAAATTTAGTTCAAAAAATAATTTTAATGTTTATAGTTGAAATAATAGTTTTTTTTCTGAAAGTTCAAAACAGTTTCAATAAATTAAAAAATACACAATGTATATCATAAGTTAAAAGAATACTATTAACAGGGAAAGAAAACCAGTGTTGTAGCTTTAATTAAAATTAATGATAGTATACATTTTCTATACTTAATTAGATAATTAATTTTCCTTTTTTTTTTTTTGTATAATAGTTTAATAAATGTTAGTTTTAATAACTGTTGAATTGTATAACTATTTTTATATTAGACTTTAACATATATATTTTTTTAATAATATTAATACTATGTTATGTTACACTGCGTAAATAGCAGTTTTGTCAATTTTTTTCTAATGTTATGTATTATTTTAATTATTATTGTGAAATGTGTAATTTTTATTACCCATTGCGTGCCTTATCACAGTTATTGTTTAAATATTAATATGACACTGCTATATAATATCAATTGTTAACGAATAAAAACAAATAAAACATGCATCATTACTAATCAAAAATATTGTGTTGTTACATCTGTCTTCAAGCGACCTTCGATTATCAGCAACCCCCAGGGCCCACGATATGTGTGTGTGTGTGTGTGTGTGTTAAAACGAATGCCCCATCAACACCCTTGGGGATGATTTACTGTTAAATATTTGAATTTTTAATAATTAACGAATAAAGTGCTCTGCGGCCAGTTAGGTTAATAGGGGGTATATGGATGTACATATGGGTATACATAGGCAAACATAATATTGTTTGTTTATAAATATATGAATATGTTAATTCGTTGTGCATGAGGGCGTTATGCGTTCAAGTGAATTATATTCGAGTGCTCGTGTGAGTTCGAGTGTGTACGCGAGGTGAACCATTGAAAACATGTACTCGAGAAAAACCGAAAACGAGCAGTTAAAAGACCTGCTAAACGAATATTTCAAAACGGTACGTTTTATAATTTGTAAATGCGGAACGTAAAAATGAAAAAAAAATAATCGCTGAAATGGGGATGTATTATAATAATACTATAATATTACCTAATCAGTAGATGTTTTACGCGAGAGTGTGCAAACAAAACATTGATAATTAAAAACCAACACGGTTGTGCCTATATATGTAATGTTTGTATGTACAGACCGAAAACGTTAAATTGGAATCGGTCGAATGCGTAATTTTTCGTGCGGATGCCTTGAAATTGGATTGGAATTTTTTCCACCGGAGAGAGATTCTAAAAATACTTATAGATTTGAAAATCACAATTCTAAAACCTTACTCTGATCTCTTTCCCGTCCTATTTTAGGAGAAGAACTAAAAAGTTTTGAATATGAACATTTAGACTAGCTTTTGATAGACCTTTTTTTTTTCAAACAATTTTGCGATTAATTCGCGTCAGACAAGATCAAAAGTCGACTATAGAAACATCTTGATTCAACTAACTGTACAGTAATAATAATAATAATTGTGTACGCATCGAAAATCTTTGAAAATAATATTCCGCATCGAAAAAAATCCTCGCGGTCCATATTACATTTTCTCGAGTCACTGCAAACTACGCCTCAAACGGGAATCGATGTGATAACCGGGTACGCTGTAAATGACAAAGTTGCCCAAGGATGTCATGTCTTGCGTTATGTTTTATACACGTTAAGTCACAAGGCGCATGCACGAAAATGCAGGATCTCCAAGCCATTTTCACGCTTCTAAGTGCACAAAATCCGACGGCAAATTGTTGGTTTCTCATAAGTTATTTTTCAATTGGAATTGTATGGTTTAAAATAGATCACTTGAATTTTCGATTGATTCATCGAAGTGTGATTAGAGATAAATGCTACTCACTATTTGATTTATTATATGTGTACTTTCATATCAAAAAGGGCCTATTTGGTCGATATTGAGTTAAGACCAGATTCATAAACTAAACGAAATTCACAAGAAAATGAACCTTAGTGGAACTTTTCATGCTTTTGTACGTAATTTTGAAATTGAAAGTTCAAAAAACCTAGTTTTCTTAAAAACGCGTTTAAAGTTTTGCGAAGTAAAAAACATGTGAATTGGAAAAAATTCCGCTGCGATATTAACATAGAAGGAAGTGAGAAACGCGATCAACGAGAGATGAAAGAAGAAGGTTTACTCTAATCTAAAACGCCGAAAACTTGAAAATTGCTTTTTTCGACCTTGCAACCGAAAAATCGCTGTAGGCAAGGCCGTATCTAGAATTTTTTTCGGGAGGAGTTCAAAACATGTATATTGTAATTTTATTGAATTTAGATTTTAACTTTTGATATTTGGTTAAAAATAAGTCAGAAAAAGATTTAATCTTCTTTTATTAAAATTAATATCATATTTTCATATGATATTATGATATAAAATTAAAAGTTATTTAATTAAAAATTAAAATTAAAATTAATGATTAATTTGAGCTTAAGTCATTTTTGACTGAAAATATTTATATTGGTATTAAAAATAAATAAGTATTTTAAAAATTCGTAAAATATTAAAGACATTTTGGGGGGGGGTCTAGACATCCTGGACCCCTCCAGATACAGCCTTGGCTGAAGATACATCGAAAACTGTGATCGTCCTAATGTTCCCTTTGAAATGGAAGCACACATTATTGTAATTTTATCGACAAACTTTTCCTTTTTTTTTTTTTTTTTTAATCAATATTTACTAATAAACATAACGTTAATTACGCGTTGAATCGTAATATATATATATATACATATGAATAAATGCATTTAAAATTGTTTTTTATTCGCTAACAGGCAATTAAAATAAAAAAAGTATGAACAACTGTGGAAATAAAAAAATAAAAATACATAGTGTTGACGACGTCGTGATTTTGAAAATCGTAAGACGAATTATATGTTTTTTTTTATCCGTAACACGCCCCCATAACCGTGAAAACATAACGCATACAAGTCATCAATCCTACGCGGAGTAGTTCAACGTTATTACATCAAGTATATTTCATAAAGTACGGTCAGCTTAGTGGTGTTACATTTACAAGCGCGAAACCGGGCGCTATTGGTTAACACCGAGCGAAGTGTGAGTCTATTGATTTTAAGATAACGTGTTTACAAGCGCATGGTTAATGGTAAATAAGACAAAAATAAAAAAATAATCCCCAAAAGTTTCGCGTAAATTAAACGCTCGATATGGTTTTTGCTGAAGTCGCGTTAAACTACAAAGGCAAACAAACGCGCGAAAAGTTAAGGGCACGCGAGCGTTCGTTTTGGATCGAGTCCCGACTGCTTTTGGTACAAATCAGACCGAGAATTATTCCACCCGAACGCGGGCAATTCTCACCACCACAAGCGTTTCTGTGCGCGCGGTTCACGCGATCGGAATACCGTATTGATACGAATATATAATACACGCGTAGTTAATACAAAAACGTTCTGTTGATTAATTATTTAAACCACCCGCCCATTATTCATTGCCTCGTTGTAGCACCGTGTAATGTATGTCAAGCATTTATTTGCATTTTAAACGAACACACTACAACGATAGCCGTTCCCCGGACGGAAGACAAACTCCGACGGTGTTGTCGTTTTTCAAGCCCTGTAATAAGTCCATTACAGGCTAGTACGATTCGTCTTAAACTCGAACGAGAATCGTATTCGAAAAAAAAAAAAAAAAAAATGAAAAACGTTTACGTATTGTTTACGGCTGATTTTTTTTTTTTTGCCCTTTGTTGATTTGAACCCGTGTATTGATCAATTATTAAAATTTAATTTACGCTCGTTTAATTGCTTACGTTTTCATTTACTCTACCCATTGCTTTGGTTTTTAAAACACATTATTGTTACCTCGAAATTACGAAAACCAGATGGTTTTTTTTTTTTATTTCATACAA